GATCGTTTGATGACTTCTTTTCCTATTTGGAAGCCTTTTATTTCTTTCTCTTACCTGATTGTTCTGACTTAGGATTTGCTGAATTGGAACGGTGAGAGCGGGCATCCTTGTCTTACTGCATTAAGGGGAATGCTTCCAGCTTTTGCCATTCGGTATGATGTTGGCTGTACATTTGTCATAGATGGCTCTTATTACTTTGAAGTTTGTGCTTTCCATACCTAGTGTGGTAAGGATTTTTATCATGGATATGTTGGATTTTCTTGCTGCTTTTCCTGCATCTTTGAGATGATTGTATTTTTTTTTTGTTTATGTGATGAATCACATTTATTGATTTGCGTAAGTTGAACAAGCCTTGCATCCCAGAAATAAAGCCCACTTGACTGTGGTGAAATAACTTTTTGATGTGCAGCTGGATGCAGTTTGGTGGTGTTTTGTTGAAGATTTTTGCATCAGTGTTCATTAGGAATATTAGCCTGTAGTTTTTTTGGTTGTTATTGTGTCTCTACCAGGTTTTGGTAATAGAATGTTGTTTCCCTTGCAGAATAAGTTAGGGATGCCTCTCTCTTTCCTGATAGCTTTTTAGAATAGTTTTAGTAGGATTAGTACCAGCTCTTCTTTGTACATCTGGTAAAATTTGGCTGTGAATCCGTCTGTTCAAGGACTTCTTTTCATTGGTAGGTGGTTTTTTTTTTTATTATTATTACTGATTCAATTTCAGAACTTGTTATTGGTCTGTTCAGAATTTCCATTTCTTCCTGGTTCAAAATCTAGGGAGGTTATGTGTTTCCATTTACACATACATACCTACTCCAAATAATGGCTTTATAGATACAGGGGTTAGTTGAAAACAAAAATGAATTCTTTCACAGTAAACTCCAACCCCCACACACACGTGTGCGTGCATAAACCTTAAGATTTTTTAAAGCCTTTCTTCGAATTTATCCATTACCTCTAGATTTTCTACTTTATGTGCATAGAGGTGCTTGTAATAGTGTGAAGATCTTTTTTATGTCTGTGGAATCTCTTGTAATGTCATCTTTGACATTTCTTACCGTGTTTATTTGGGTCTTCACTCTTTTTTAATTTGTTAACCTAGCTAACAGTCTATCAATCTTGTTTATCCTTTAAAGTAACCAACTTCTATTAACTAGGTTTTAAGCTAAATAGGATTTATCTACTTTTATTAAAGAGGAAGTAGCATTACCACAGACTCACGAACACTTCTGTGGAGATCCTATATTGACTGACAATCTACTATATGATCCAATGGGTCAGGAATTTATATTAGAGTAAAATTTTAATAACTAAATTGCTTTAACATAGTGATTGTTTAAATGATTCAGTTCAATTAACCCTTTCTTGAAGATACTTTAAATTTTACTAGTATTATTTCTTGCTCTAGTCAGTACAGAACAATTGGGATCACTAGCACTTTCTGAGATGTATTCAGAGAAGCATCAGTTTTCTCATTTAGGACTATATATAAATAGAAATTAGTTACAAACTGAGTCATAGAAAATGCTTTTTTAAAAAAATCCTCCAGCTTATTACTCTTTCTTCTTTGTTCTAATGTGGAGTAAAGAAATATGCATTCTAGGCTGGGTGTGGTGGCTCACATCTGTAATCCCAGCACTTTGGGAGGCTGAGGTGGGCGGATCACAAGGTCAGGAGTTTGAGACCAGCCTAACCAACATGGTGAAACCCCTTCTCTACTATAAATACAAAAATTAGCTGGGCATGGTGGCGTGTGCCTGTAATCCCAGCTACTCAGGAGGCTGAGACAGGTAAATCACTTGAACCCGGGAGGTGGAGGTTGCAGTGAGCCGAGATTGTGCCACTGCACTCCAGCCTGGGCGACAGGCCAAGACTCTGTCTCAAAAAAATATATATATATGCATTCTAAACCCTTTAAAGTTATGGTTGAGGTTTTCACAGTACTGCTTCAGCGTATTGATTTGGGACATGTATGTTCTCTTTTACATTGTCAACCAAGTACATTCTATGATTTTAGATCTAGCTTTCGGTGGCATACTTCTGGTTGTTTAATGAGTTTCTTTATGTCAAAGATCAGATGGTTGTAGATGTGTAGCGTTGCTTCCAAGGCCTCTGTTCTGTTCCATTGGGCTATATTTCTGTTTTGGTAGCAGTACCTTGTTGTTTTGATTACTGTAGCCTTGTAATATAGTTTGAAGTCACATAGTGTGATGCCTCCAGCTTTGTTCTTTTTTCTTAGGATTGTCTTTGCTATGCAGGCTCTCTTTTGGTTCCATATGAAGTTTAAAGTGATTTTTTTCCAGTTCTGTGAAGCAGGTCAATGGTAGCTTGATGGGGATAGCATTGAATCTGTAAATTACTTTGGGCAGTATGGCCATTTTCACAATATTGATTCTTCCTAACCTCATGAGCATGGGATGTTTTCCTATCTGGTTGTGTCCTGTCTTATTTTTTTGAGGAGTGGTTTGTAGTTCTCCTTGAAAAGGTCTTTTACATCCTTTTGTTGTATTCCTGGGTATTTTATTCTCTTTGTAGCAGTTGTGAATCGGAGTTCGCTCTTGATTTGGCTGTTAGTCTGTTATTGGTATACAGGAATGCTTGTGATTTCTGCACATTGATTTTGTGTCCTGAGACTTTGCTGAAGTTGCTTATCAGTTTAAGGAGATTTTGGGCTGAGATGATGGGGTCTTCTAAATATACAATCATGTCATCTGCATATAGAGACAATTTGACTTCCTCCTTTCCTAACTGAATACCCTTTATTTCTTTTTCTTGCCTGATTGCTTGGCTAGAATTCCCAATACTATATTAAATAGGTGTGGTAAGAGAGGGCATCCTTGTCTAGTGCCATATTTCAAAGGAATGCTTCTAGTTTTTGCCCATTCAGTATGATACTGGCTGTGGGTTTGTTGTAAATAGCTTTTATTATTTTGAGATACATTCCATCAATACCTAGTTTATTGAGTTTTTAGCATAAAGAGCTGTTGAATTTTGTCAAAGGCCTTCTCTGCATCTATTGAGATAATCATGTGGTTTTCGTCTTTGGTTCTGTTTATGTGATAGATTATGTTTATAGACTTGCATATGTGAACCAGGCTTGCATCCCTCGGATGAAGCCTACTTGATCATGATGGATAAGCTTTTTGATGTGTTGTTGTAATCAGTTTGCCAGTATTTTATTGAAGATTTTTGCATCTATGTTCATCATGGATAATGGCTTGAAGTTTGGACACAGGGAGTGGAGCATCACACACTGGGGTCTGTTGTGGCGTGGGGAGGTCGGAGAGGGATAACATGGGGAGAAATGCCAGATATAGGTGACAGGGGGATGGAGGCAGCAAGCCACCTTGCCGTTTATGTACCTATGCAACAATCCTGCATGATCTGCACATGTACCCCAGAACCTAAAAAGTTTCTTTATGTATTGATGTCCTTCCTTTTTTAAATTTTATCACTCCTCTATTAAGTTGTGATATCCAAATTTAAAATATTCTAAAAACATGTTCTCCTTCAAGTTGAGGTAATGATAGTTGTTATATGGTACTTACTATAATATATGCCAGGAACTGTTCTAAGCATTTTACGTATTTAATTCTCACACCAACCCTCTTTAAGTAGGGACTGATACTATCCTCATTTTACAGAAGGGGAAACGAAGAGTCAGGGAGTCACTTGCACAGGTGTCAGGCTACAACATGGCAGAAGCAGGACTTAAATCCAAATACGCCGATTTCAGGTTTCTGCTCTTTAGTCCTGTATCATACTGTGACTTCAAGAGAGCATGGTAAACTAATTAGAATAGTTCTATCATGATTCTATTTCCGTTTTGAAATGTTAACTAAAAATTCTTGAATTTTCTCAGTACCCCATTTAGTATAGGACACAGTAAGAATGGAACCATTCTGTTCTCATATTGGACATTGAGATACCTTTCTTTTCTACCACCATATCTGTCCTCCGCAGACTGTATGGTGTGTCAGAGGATCTAAAAATGATTTTTAAATGTGATTTACATGTACTCTTCCCTTTGCAAAATGGTTTGCATTCCTAATAATTGAGACAGGTACATTTCTTTCATATGAATGATTTCTTGCCTTTCCTTGGAGTTCTGAGTACTTTCCCTTTCAGAGAACAATGTAATTCTTATTTAGTCACTGAAACAAGTAACTTTAGGAGGATGAATAAGTCTACTAAAAGTCTACAGGATCCATGGTGTAGTTTGATTAGATGGCTCCATAACAAGTCAAGGTAAAAGATAATTTATATATAATATGAAAATGGATGCTTTAGGTTGATAAGCATTATAAATCTTCCTTATAAAAGGGAAATTTCCCACTTACAGTTTATGTGAAGTAATGTAGAGTTTTTCCGATTCATCTTCCCAAATGTGTTTAGTCCAAGCACTATCTATGTACGTACCTATATAAACGTGAAAAGTGGATTTTTCTGCTGTGAGAACTAATACTGTTTTTAGCATGTAGTCTGCTATTGTCATCTTCCTATCTTAGTAAGTGGCTTGGAACAAGTGTAAATAGTATAATTCTCTTCATGATATATACTACCATGATTTAATCTTAAACCAGTTTGTAATCATTATTACAAGCTTAGATTTTTTTTTAGTTTATACTAAGAGTAATTTGCCTTACATAACCAATGAAATTGTTGCATTTAGAGTGAAAGTGAGACGAAAAATAACTTGTAGAAGAATTTACAAAAGTGACTTACTCAGATTGTTTTAACATACCGTTATAATAGTTTGTATGCATTATACTTTATATAAGCCATAACTATGATACAGTTTCTGGCCTATTTGTAAGCAAAATTTTCCTCGATCTTTTGCTTTCAGAAAAAAAATACGTTTTTTCTCCTCTTCCATGTCATTTTATCATAAATGCTAAATAAAATATTTCTCCCAATAGTTTTAGAAAGTAAAAATACTTCTTGACTATGTAGCACAGACCTTCCCATTACAATTCATTTTTATATATTTTTTAAAATACCTACAGCTCGAAAAACAAAGAAAAAAATAAAAGGAATTCAGCAGGCCACTACAGGAGTCTCACAAGAAACCTCTGAAAATCCTGCTAACAAAACAATAGTTCCTGCAACGTTACCACAACTCACCCCTACCCTGGTGTCACTGTTGGAGGTCATTGAACCTGAGGTGTTGTATGCCGGTTATGATAGCACTGTTCCAGACTCAACCTGGAGGATCATGACCACGCTCAACATGTTAGGAGGGCGGCAAGTTATTGCAGCCGTGAAGTGGGCAAAGGCGATACCAGGTAAGATGCAAAAGATAAAAGAGCAACCATATAAACTTTTGTGTTTTCTTCAGCAAAAACACTTCATCTTCTTCATCATCCTGAGCCCATGGCTTATCTTGTTTCTGTTACTCAGTTCTAGAAACTATGAAGTGGAGAGTCAGGTGAATACAGGTGATAGGGAGTTTATAATCAAACATGTACTTTACTCCCTCTTTTTCAAATCATTATGGTAATTTCACATAGGATGATGTAATATCAGAACTCAAGTTACAGGACTTAACTCAGAACTCCTTTTACACTGAAGGTTGGGGAAAGAAAATGTTTTTAGTTAATTCCAATTGTTTTGCTTCACTGTGCCCCTTTTAAAAATCAGGATGTTTGTAAAATTGGTAAACATCAAAGTGTGCTGACTCTGTCAAAAATTGCACTAAAGTAGAATGATTTTAACTCTTCACTAAATGAGATGCTACACATTGAATGTAATTTTAAAGATAATTTTAAATATAAGTAGTTCCCCTATTGGAATTTGGCTTGGAACAGCAGAGGTCAGTGTTAGTGTCAGCTCTAACCTTAATGATAAAAGGAATTGACAAGCTTGTGTTCTCACAAATAGGGACAGAAAAAGTAACCTGTCATCCTTGTTTTATTGAAGGGGAAAGAGGTGTGACTAGCAGAGCAAGTGTTTTACTTAACTTGTTGATTAATATCTCAAGCCAGGATTCTTTTCTATTTTTTAAAAATCAATACATAATAGTTGTACATATTTATTGTATGTATGTATATTTACGGGGTACATGTAATATTTTGATAGAAGCATACAACATGTTAAGGATCAAATCAGAGTAATTGGGATACCCATCACCTCAAACATTTGGGGAACATTCCATATCTTTTAACTATTTTGAAAATATACAATAAATTATTGTTAACTGTAGTCATTCTGTTGTGCTATTGAACACTAGAACTTATTTCTTCTAACTGTATTTTTGCACCCATCAACAAATCTCCCTTCATCCCCTTCACCACTACCCTTTCCAGTCACTGGTAACTGCCAAGGCAAGGATTTTGGCTTTCTATTTTACTATTTTACTATTTAGTTCATGTTTACTTAAGCAGACAAAGGTGACAAAACTGGCTACTTATTTTTTTAACACTGAAAGCTATTAAAAAGCACAGAGGTTGGTTGGGCACAATAGCTCATGCCTGTAATCCCAGCACTTTGGGAGGCCAAGGTGGGTGGATCACTTGATCAGGAGTTCGAGACCAGTCTGGCCAGCATAGCAAAACCCCATCTCTACTAAAATTACAAAATTTAGCCAAGCATAGTAGTACACACTTGTATTCCCAGCTACTTGGGAGGCTGAGGCACAAGAATCACTTGAACCCAGGAGGCAGAGGTTGCACTGAGCTGAGAGGGTGCACTCCAGCCTGGGTGACAGAGCGAGACACTGTCTAAAACAAAACAAAACAAGCACAGAGGGTTTCAGTCTTAAAGTATCAGATGACAGGGGAAAACTTTGTCTACCTAGCATTTAGTTTCCTTTTTCTGTTAGGGGCCCCCTTGTTTTGACAGGAGTAAATGATCTCATTGCTCTTTGGCAATTCCCATAGAGATGATCTTCTTAGAGTGTTGCCTTATACCTTTATATCTCCTAATTCAGGTTTCAGGAACTTACACCTGGATGACCAAATGACCCTACTGCAATACTCCTGGATGTTTCTTATGGCATTTGCCTTGGGGTGGAGATCATATAGACAAGCAAGTTCAAACCTACTGTGTTTTGCTCCTGATCTGATTATTAATGAGTAAGTTGTATGTGAGTCATTTTCCCTGTATTCATAGGGTATTTTTAACCAGCTGATGTTTTCCTGATGGACTGCTATTGTGATAATTCAGGACTGATTCAATCCTACTGGGTATCTAGGAACTAGGCAAACTAGAAATAGAGTTAGGAGTGCTTAGGGCAGGACAAGTGTAATGTAGAGCAGATGTACATGTGGCATCATTACTGTCCCAGGACATGTTTAAGGATATTAAACAGCATCTCTGAGGTTAGTAAAGTCTGTTACAAGCAACAAGGAATCTAAATTTCATAATCCTACTCCAGAAAGAAACAGCATGATAAAACTCATGTGGATTCAGTGGGGACAATTGCAGATGAGGATATCTAGGCTGATGGGGTGGGACATATGGACCCAGACACAAGAGATATCTCTTTGTATGGCAAGGCTCACCCAGTACCTATGGCTTAAGAATATGGGAACAAGTTTGTTTTGTTGAACTGAGAGAAGACCAAGCCTTTAAGATTTTATAAATCAGCTATTCTCTTATCCTCTGTGCTTATTCCTGTGTCTGTGAAGTATTTCAGGTATCCATTTCCCCTTACCTCATTGCAGTTGTTTCCTCACTAGTTTTTACCTCCAGTGTAACCTTCATCATGTTGGCTAATGTTTGCTTCCTCAAACACAGTCTGACTGCATCACATCTCTCTCCAGTACACAGATTGTCTTCAGTATCTTCCCACTGACCCTCTAGTGCATACTCTGCATGATTTCAGGCTTTCCAGAACCTCACCTCACTTCCTCTGTCATTGTTTTCCTTCACATACTCTTCATTCCCTTCCCTTCTTCAAGCATACTCTTAGACTGTTGGTGTTCACATCACCAGATACGTGGCAGAGAAGTCACATCCTAGCTCTTCTCACTTTCTACCTTGTGTTATTACTCTTCATAGCCCTTGCTTATTGCTATTAGTAGAATGTAAACAGGAAGTTCACACACACATATCCCTGGTCCAAGAACAAAAAATGAAGATTTGTGTTTATATAAAAAACAGAAGTCACCTTGACTACCTATTGCCAAAAAAAGGACTGTTCAAACTACTGCATCACAATGTGACAAGATTAGGTAGTTTGATCCAATTTTAAATTAACTGGTAAATATATTTAGTTTCTGGAGAAACTCAAGACATAATTATTCATTTCAGAATCCTATCATGCTGTTAAAAAAAATACCATGTTGGCAGTATTTATTTTTTAGTCACTTTCTAACATGCAATTTGAAGGCATTTAAGTGGAATTAAAAGCATAAACAGATTTATATGAAACACCAACTTATCTTTCCTAACCTAATTTAGAGTTTTTATTAGGGCATTCAGATTTAGATTTCAGCAGTCACAGCATAATCTGATCATGCCACATGCATTCCTTACATAAAGTGGGATTTGCAAAATTTCTTTCCTCAACAGATTTACGTTAGTTTCATTTTCATTAAGGGATGTTTACTTCCCATTCTTGTGTTCGTATGCTGCTGCATATAAGATGATCAGTCCTCCACTTTTTTTTTTTTTTTTTTTTTTTTTGAGATGAGTCTCATTCTGTCACGCAGGCTGGAGCGCAGTGCCGTGATCTTGGCTCATGGCAACCTCCACCTCGTGGGTTCAAGCAGTTCTCTGCGTCAGCCTCCTGAATAGCTGGGATTACAGGCATGCCCCACCATGCCCGGCTAGTTTTTGTATTTTTAGTGGAAATGGGGTTTTGCCATATTGGCCAGGCTGGTCTTGAACTCTTGACCTCAAGTGATCCACCTGATGTGGCCTCACAAAGTGCTGGGATTACAGGCATGAGCCACTGCACCCAGCCCTCCACTCCTTTTTTCTTAGCCCACGATGCTTCCATAGAGCTCTGGTGTCTGTGACAGGTAGATTTTGTATATCAGAAAGTGTGTATTCAAGTTCTAACCCTCTATAGAGCTGTAAAACAGTCTCTCATGGATGCCCTTAGGTCAGAATGTTGTCCAAAAAAAATGTTCGTTGTTTTTACAGCCAACAAGAATGAGCTTTTACTTATTCTACTGCACTATAACTTTGTTGAAGTTTTCAGTTAGGGAGTACAACTATGTACAAGAAACTAAAGGAAAAAAAGGTAGCTCCCAGAAAAAGGAGTGCTTTACTTAGTATTAAGGATTGGGGAGGTGCCTTTGAAGAGCCTGTGATCATGCTGGCAGCATATAATTCGTGTCTGATTTATTTTACGTGAAGAAATTAACCACATCTTCAGTAGAGAAAAATAACTTTTGTTGTTGTTAAGTCCAAGATCACTTTCTGTCAGAAACTTAAAAAAAAAAATCTTGAAGCATTTTAAAAGCTGTGAACTGTGCCCAGTTTCAGGCTCTTAGTGTCAATTCAAAAGTCAAGACACTTTAGAGATCTATTTGAAAATCATAGATGTGTAATGACTGTTCAGAATCATAAGCAAGAATTGGTTTGGTATCTTTAAATAATATTAAGGCATATACCTGTCAGAGGCAGATTTTGAGTATCACAAGAAAACTAGAATCAGATTCTAGGTCTGGCCCTCTGCATAACAGTGAACAGTGTCACACATTTTTGTCTTTAGAATGGAATGTGGTGAAAAATTTATCTTTAAAAATAAAGTGTGTAGGACCTAAAACTGTGTTGTCTAATTGAGCATATTCAAGTGATAAACCTTGATTTAAAATGAGCAACTAGTAATACAGTTCTATAAGAATTCTAAGCATTTTCATTAAATAATAATTCATGGAATGCGTGATAGAAAATAATGTTTCCACTGTTACATTAAATTATTCATTAGTCTTCTTAAATAGCCATGATCCAGGAACAAGTTTAAGGGAAGTTCTCCAAAATTCTGATTTTATAAGGAATTAGCAATAATATAATTGCAATACTTGTTCTTCTTTGTGAATTCATAGTTTTGCAGAACAAAAGTATGTGCTTCTGGGGGGGAAGTAGCACTTTTTCTAACTACTACCCTGCTATTTATCTTTCACAGGCAGAGAATGACTCTACCCTGCATGTACGACCAATGTAAACATATGCTGTATGTTTCCTCTGAGTTACACAGGCTTCAGGTATCTTATGAAGAGTATCTCTGTATGAAAACCTTACTGCTTCTCTCTTCAGGTTGGTAGAGCACCTTTTCACTTTATGTCAAAAGCATGAAATATGAAAGTCTAGAAACAGAGGTTAATTTATATACATAGTACTAATAATTATACCAAGTCTACTATTATTTCCTACTAGTCAGACGATTTTTATAAGACAAATTAGGTATAGCAGAATAGAGAGCTGTGTGAGCTGCATATAGGGATCTCTGTTGACTGGAATCGGTGTAGACTTTTTTCTCCTTCCTTCCTTTGATCTTTTGATCTTGGGAAGATATGGAAAAAGAAAGCCAACTACCGTGATTTTGTTTGTCTCCTACACTGTTATTTGGTCAAAAAATTTAGTTACCTAGTAAGTATTAGCATGTATAAGAAATTATGGAGAAAAAGATGCATCCTAGAAAAGGTATGCTTAATTACTCTTGGGGGATTGTTCAACACAGCCTTGGAGCTCAATTGTCAGAGATTCACTGTCAGGAAAATGGCAACAAGAGTTTATAAAGCAAGGCCGGGCGTGGTGGCTCAAGCCTGTAATCCCAGCACTTTGGGAGGCCGAGGCGGGTGGATCACGAGGTCGAAAGATCGAGACCATCCTGGTCAACATGGTGAAACCCCGTCTCTACTAAAAATACAATAAAACTAGCTGGGCATGGTGGCGCGTGCCTGTAATCCCAGCTACTCAGGAGGCTGAGGCAGGAGAATTGCCTGAGACCAGGAGGCGGAGGTTGCGGTGAGCCGAGATCATGCCATTGCACTCCAGCCTGGGTAACAAGAACGAAACTCCGTCTCAAAAAAAAAAAAAGAGTTTATAAAGCAAACTTCTGTGAGATTACTTTTCAGCTAGTAAAGACAAAGATGTCCTTCAGTAGGTGAGGTAATAAACTAATAATACCTCCAGATGATGGAATACTATTCGGGACTAAAAAGAAATGAGCTATCAAGCCATGAAAACACATGGAGGAACCTTAAATGCGTATTACTAAGTGAAAAAAGCTAATCTGAAAGGGCTACATATTGTGTAATTCCAACTATATAACATTCCATAAAAGGCAAAACTGTGAAGAGAGAAAAGAAAAAAAAAAAACAGTGGTTGTCAGGGTTTAGAAGGAAGGGAGGGATAAATGTGCAGAGCACAGGGGATTTTTATGGCAGTGAAAATACTTCGTATGATACCATAATGGTAGAAACATGTTGTTATACATTTGTCCAAACCCGAAGAATGTCCACCACCAAGAGTGAACCCTCAACTGTGGACTTTGGGTCGTGATGTGTAGGACAGGAGGTATATGAGAAATCTCTGTACCTTCCCCCCAGTTTTGCTGTGAACTTAAAACTGCTCTAAAAGTCTTTTAAAAACACAAAACAAAACTCTGTGAACTAGTTGACATTATAAACCTTAGGCCATTTGCAGTAAAAAGTACATGTCAATGTTTATTAAATACCGAGTTAATGGGTGAATACCTCTTTCATATACAAATAAGTACATTTGCAATTTTTTTTAAGTCTTAATTCCATTAGTAACTGTGGTTTCATAGTTGCCAAATAACTAAGCTATGGCTGTTGCACAAGACTATGACTGTATTTAACCCTTTCATATCTATTTAAACATTTCCAAAGCACACATTTGTCTTAATGCATTCATATTATTTTTAGTCAACAAAAAGTTGTTTTATGTTAATGGATATAAGAAGTATTAATAATATTTTAGTCAAGGCAAGAGAACCCAGTAAGGATCATTGCTAGAGACATGTTTAATATTACCTGGAGCAGTATACTTGCTAAAGAAATGATTAAGCAGTTACCTAAAGTTCTGATCATAACTTTGATTGATACCATGAAGTACAATTGAGTGCCTAGAGACTAACAACCTTATTTATTTTAAAAAAAAAAAAATGGTTTCAATTGTATACATGCCAGCCTAATTGAGCTATAAAATTTTTTTCAATGTAGATAATAAGAAAAAGTAAATTGGCCTAGTACCTATCACAAGATATACTTTTCAAAAAATAATAGAATCATAAGGATGGAAATATATACCTTAAGATATAGACTTATACTCTGATGGACTACTGGAACAAGTACTATAACCTCCCACCAAAAATGCTAGACTAAAAAATTTAAGAACCAAGTGAAGGCAGGAACCCACAGAGATAAGTGGAACTCAAGCCAACTTGCTCTTCGAGGCCATTTGTAAAACCTGGTAAATTAGTAAGTTGGAGGGTTTTTCAGGTTTATAATCTTTTTAAAAATAATTTCAATAGGTTTTGGGGGGAATAGGTAGTGTTAGGTTACATGAATAAGTTCTTTAGTGGTGATTTCTGAGATTTTGGTGCACCCATCACCTGAACAGTGTACAGTCCATTATATCATTATTATGCCTTTGCATCTTCATAGTTTAGTTCCCTCTTATAAGTGAGAACATGGAATATTTGGTTTTCCATTCATGTTACTTCACTTATAATAACGGTCTCCAATTCCATCCGGGTTGCTGTAAATGTCATTATTTTGTTCCTTTTTAAGACCAAGTAGTATTCCATGGTATATATATATACCACATTTTCTTAATCTACTCATTGATTGATAGGCATTTGGGCTGGTTCTCTATATTTAGTAAGTTAAAAAACAAGGGATGGAAATGTAAGAAGGGATGGAAATATAAGTGCAATTGAAAGAGCAGAGGATGAATCTAAAAGCAGATTGGACACATTTAAAGAAACACTTGAAATGTATATCTGAAAAAATCAGCCAGAATACAGTTGTTTTAAACGAGTACGTATAGGTTTGTGTATATATTTCAAGGGAAATCTGTCGATACTGAAAATCACAAGAGGAAAATTGCAACAAAACTATAGAAACTGGAAAAGCAATGACTTTTCTTAGGTCCATCAGAGAATATAGGTCATAAGGCAAACCACTACCTCAAAATCTGGAAGAACAGGCAAATACGGAGAAACAACAGCCAAGATCAGCTTACCAGGAAAAGATGCCCCTGAAGCCAGGAAGACTCTGGTAATTTTCAGGAATTGCTGGAGGCCACGTGAGGACTAGTTTGAGAGTTAAAAACTCCCAGGGACCCAGTCTTAGTGGGGGTTTCCTGCAATTTCTTGGGTTTACCCCATAAAATTTCTAACTTTCAGAAACTCAATGAGGTTCTTATGGTGAAGATGTGAGAAAAATTCCCTCCTATTTCTGGTAGAAGTAAGGGGAAGGTAAAATTTGGAAATATGTAGGAGAACATTTACAACAAGGCCCACCCATTAAGGAAAACTAATTCAACAGGGCCTTATGTGACCTGGGGAAAGGGCAGATAGAGAATTCTAGCTCTGTCTTAGCCTTCTTGTCTCATTTCTGAAAGTCACAGTCTAGAGATTCAGACCCACTTAAAAAAAAGAATGTGATTTAATTATACAGATCATAAAACACTTCACCTCTTCCTCCCCAACACCTTACCATCCTGTAAACAGGGCTACAGGATAAAATAACAGTGGATTACAGCTGAGAGAGCTGCAAGACACAGGCTATTTAAGGAGTTCTTAGGAAACCCAAAGACAACAGAAGAGAAAGTAAATAAAAATAAAAACAAGGCCGGGCACGGTGGCTCAAGCCTGTAATCCCAGCACTTTGGGAGGCCGAGGCGGGTGGATCACGAGGTCAAGAGATCGAGACCATCCTGGTCAACAAGGTGAAACCCCGTCTGTACTAAAGATACAAAAAATTAGCTGGGCATGGTGGCGCGTGCCTGTAATCCCAGCTACTCAGGAGGCTGAGGCAGGAGAATTGCCTGAACCTGGGAGGCAGAGGTTGCGGTGAGCCGAGATTGCGCCATTGCACTCCAGCCTGGGTAACAAGAGTGAAACTCTGCCTCAAAAAAAAAGTAAAAAAATAAAAATAAAAATAAAAACAAGGAAACTAGAGGGAACTGAAACCTCTACTACATACAACTATAGCAAACATTAAATACAGCCCAGCTCCTAGCTGGATTAGCATGAAACCTCAAACCAAAAGTCTAAGTACTTCACTTTTGATATATTGTGTTCAGCTTTCAGCAGAAAACTATCAGGCATGCTAAAAGGCAAGAAAAAACCCCGTCTGAAGAGACCAAACAAGCATCAGAAGCAGTCCTCAGATATGACACAAATATTTCAGTGATCAAATAGGAAATTTACAATACCAATGATAAGTAGGTTAAAGGCTCCAACAGAAAAAGTAGACAGCATGCAAGAAGTTATGTATGCAAAGAGTTGGAAACACTAAAAATAAATGCAAAGGAATGCTGTAAGGAAATGCAGAATAATGTTGATGGGCTCATCAGTAGACTGGGCACAGCCAAGCAGTGTCAGTGAGCTTGAGGATAGGTAAAAGGAAACTCCTTAAACTCAAATGCAATACACTGAATAGAAAGCAGTTATAAACATGGTAGACATTAATCCAGCTATATCAGTAATCACTTTAAATTTGAATGGTCTTAAGTACACTAATCACCTATTTTTTTTAACTAGGAGGTAAAAATAAAGTTTGCCACTATATGCTCATTACAGAATACACTTGGGCTAAAGAAAAATAATCCCAGCCAGGCACGGTGGCTCATGCCTGTAATCCCAGCACTTTGGGAGGCTGAGGCAGGAGGATCAGGAGGTCCAAGAGATCAAGACCGTCCTGGCCAACATGGTGAAACTCTACTAAAAAAAAAAAAAAAAAATAGCTGGAGATGGTGGCACATGCCTATAGTCCCAGCTACTCAGGAGGCTGAGGCAGAAGAATCACTTGAACCCGGGATGTGGAGGTTGCAGTGAGCTGAGATCATGCCACTGCACTCCAGCCTGGTGACACAGTGAGACTCCATCTCAGAAAATAAAAGTAATCCCATCTTTAAGAATGACTAAAGAGTAAGGAAAGTGGTAAATAATGTAGCTACATTTAAACTAACTGTTACTATGTATATAAAATAACAACAGTAATAATTTCCTTGAGAGTTAAAAAGTAGAACTAAAGTATATTTAAGTTTCAAGGATGACAACT